CCCAGCCGCACCCCTGACAACGCGGGCACGACGGGCTGCCGTGCTGGCTTGGAGGAAGCCCAGGGCCCTGGGTCTGAGGACGGTGAGCTCACGGCCCCGAGCCCTTCGGCACTGAGGGCGCTTCGCTGCTGCCGTCTGGTCCGAACCGCCCACCAGGTGAGGGACGCGCGTGCTCCGGGGAACGGACAGTGCGGTGGCTACAGGGACGGGCAGTGGTTAGTCTCACCTAGAGGCACGGTTAGTGTGGCCCGCGGGCTGCCCGTGTCCCCGTTGGGGGCGGAGTCTCCTGGGGACAGGGCTGACCCGCAGCTGCAGCGCCCGGAGTGAGCGCGGGTGCTGCCGCCTTCGCTGGCTTCCTTTCTAGGAGGGTCGGCCCGTGGGCACCTGAGGTAACGCGGTAGTGAGCACCAGTGGCCTCGCGCCCGGCGGCCTCACAGGCTCTTCATGCACACCTGGCAGCGGCTGATGTGCGTGCGGATGAGGCCGGCCTTGAGCGTGTCGGCCGAGGGCGAGCCCTGGAAGCTGCGCTCGGGGATGGTGGTGAGCCAGAAGCTGTACTTGTTGGCGGAGGGGTGCCGCGCCCGCCGTTGCACTCGATGAAGGGCGTGGCGCGGAAGTCCTCCAGGCAGCTGCCCGGCGACACGAGCGACTGACCGCCACCTTCGTCGCCGGCTGCAGTGTGCTGCAGAGGGCGGAGACAGCGGGGTTAGGGCCGCAGGCCGAGAGCCAGCTCGGCCACCACCGTTTGCGGCCATTGCACACCTCAGTGTGGACCGCAGGCAGCACGATCTTGAGGGCCCTGGGCCCAGGTCACTCCCAGGCTGCACTGCAGGGCAGGGTGCCACGGCAGAGCCATGCCCTCTGGTCTTCAGTGAATCTGGGACCCGCAAGTGTGGGGGTGACCAGAGGGGAGCAGCAGCTTCCAGCCACCCACTGGAAGAAGGAACATGCGGCAGAAGCAACACCCTGCTCTTTCTTGAAATAGAACTAAAATGAGCTGTGGGCCCAATTCTGACGTGGGCAGTGACAAATAAGCCCCTGATGTTGACGATTATGCAGGGAGGACGAGTGGTTTTAATGATTTTTCTATTAAAAAAATCTGTCCTTGCTGATTTTCTACAATAAATATGTGTTACTCGTATAATTAAACGTTTTTGACATCAAAGGTAATTAGTTAAGCAATCAGTTGATTCCGAGTCTGGCAGCTGCGAGACAGGAAACTAGCTGTGCCATTTTAAAGTTCTGCTCTCGGAGCACAAGCACACACAAGCACACACAAGCACACGCAAGCACACACAAGCATCCGTAGCCCGCGGAGAGGTGCACGCAGCCTGGGCCCTCCGAGTTTGTGGACTCGGCTCCAGGTGCCTGGGGCCAGTGTGCGTGCTGGGTCTGTCTGGACCATTCACTCAGAGCAGTGTCTCCATTGCCTCCAGGGAAAATGAGGCAGTGTGGTGGTGTATTTGGGGGGGCCTCAGTTTACCTTGTCTTTGAAAACAGCAAATAACAAACAGGTCCCAGAGAGGCATCCTGTCGCAGGGTGCGGAGCCCTGAGGAGCCTGGGCTCCCGGCTCTGCTGCAACAGGCGAGGAGGAGCAGACAGCCCCGAACTGAGTCTCCGGCCTTTGCCTGGGTCTGAATGAGCTGCTCAGCTGAGCCCCGAGAGGACCACCCCAGAACTAGAGTCAGTAGGGAGCTGCCCAGGGCTCCCAGAACCCAGCCAGGAGAGAGACAGAGAGAGGAAAGCACCCCTGGGGGACAGCTCTGCTGCAATCCCTTCTACATTCTCCACTTGAGACTTGGGGCACGCACACCCCAGGTGTTTTTCAAGCCATCACATCTGGGACTTGAGCCAGGCAGTCATGTGGGATCTGGCTGCTCTGATCACCATGCCACTGGCTGATCCCGTATCTTCATTTTAAACCAGGTCGTTAATGTGTGTTAATGCCAATATTCTAAGTTCCAGGTAGACTCTATAAGATTCTTAGGATTCTAGATCAAATCTTTCCCTGTAAGATGCCTCGGAAGCCAAAAGACGCTTCTTTGGTGTTGAGCTGAGTGAGGTGGGAAAGAGGCCCAGCCGGTCCCAGGTATGCTCCTTACAAGGAGGCCAATTAAGAGGCTCCTCTGGGTCGGGGCCACCCCCCGGCATGCGGCTCCATACAGCGTGAGCTGCGCCCGGCTCTCCTCGCCCCGGGCCAGGCCTGTGTGGTCACAACCCGGACGGCAGCACACCGGCCGGGCGGGAGGGGAGGGGCCCGGCCTCCACGCACCATGAGG